AGTTGTTCATTTCTCAGTTCTCAGTTCATTTCTCAGTGGAAATGTTGCACCTGTAAACTATCAAGCAATTGTAAGCCTGAAGGATGTCTCAAAATTTTGGTGTCGACATCAAGCGGAGAGTTATCTGGGTCGGTTCACGTGAGAGAGTCATACTCTGCCATAGATGTCGTGCCTTCAGAAAATGCATTGTCATTTCATGAGTTTCATCACTTCAGTAAGTCAGATTTTATATCATGTGATTTTATGATCGACAGCACCTCCTTATTGGCTAATATGAACTTGAAATAACAGAGATCAAATTGACTGTATAACGAGGCTTTTCTGTAAACAGTCAAAACAGCCTAATGTACATAATTGCACAACTTTAATAAGGAGATGACGTTAAATTTCAGCGTAACACCTCTACAGTGCGTGGATGACTGCTTTAAAGTCTTCCGCGACTTTAAAACAATCAGATGACCGGTTGTTTCGTATGAATTGAAATCCAGAGAAGACATGTATGTCTTAATATGATGTTTTAGAGTCGAGAAGTTAATTTTTGTTTCTCTGCCCAGAGTATTGTACAGTGAACCTTTCATTCAGTTGCTGGATGAAGGCCTTTCAAAATATTTGCCAAAATATTCTTTTTCTGCGATTCCTTCCTTCTTGATCTAGCTATCTTATTCAACTCCTCTGAAGATTTGCCCACGGACCGTTTACTGTCTCCTGGAATCTGGTTGGTCGGATCTTGTTCCAAAGTGTCTTGCGCATTGCTATTTCAAATTCTTCACTCATGAGGAGACATCATAGACTCCTGTTTGTGCCCTTACTGACTTGTTTGACTTCTTATTTATTCCCAAAATCATCTCTCCATACTCCGGGGTGTAGTTTTTATTTTATGAGTATCTGTCAGGCTTAACATCCACGTTTAATACTTGTATGTAACTGATATTTTTGAATGAGTTTTTAAAAGTAATATGGTTGGGATTAAAATATGTTCCTTTCAACACTTTGATGCAGTTTCACTCCGGGAACTATAATGGGATGAACCCATAGTCTGTTTGAGAGATGCTTCTAGGTCTCTACAAGCAGGGAGGTTGTGTGAATTTGCGAAGGTGACTCATGAATTACAGTATTTAGATGCAGAGTTCAGAAACGAAGAAATTATTAGTTCTCTTAATGGGCTTCAGCCGTTTTTTTCAGTTCTTCAAAAAATAACTACACAGTTGTTTTTGTCATCGTTATCTACGGATTATTCAGAGTAATGATGACTGCACTTATGCAGTGATTTTTTGTTGTTCAGTTAATCTACACCGAAATAATCTAAAAGAGAAAGTAATATAAATGACGAAGTAAACTTTAAGCGCGTGCAAGATTTCATGTTCAGAGAAGTAATTTCACTCTTCGCTTCCGAAATAACATTTATTGCTTGTTGTTACTCTTTTAATGCAATTTATTTTTAGAGATCAGTTTGTCCATCAGCTGCTTAAATGCCGAAGAATAAAGGTGAGTGTCCAGTTGGTCATTTATGAACTAAACATGTTATATAAAATTACGGTGTGTTTGATCCGCACCGTTATTTGAAGCAGAAACCACTATTAGTGTTAGTAATGAATTTTGCTAAGTAAACGCAACCTTTCTACGATGCTGATTCATTAGTTTTGGCTGCAAGACAAAGACTGCTGTTAGAACACTTCTATCACACATTTTTCAACGTTTCTACCACATAACAGCAATCTTGTTCAGAGCAATTAACTAACAACGGGTCCTGCAGTACGTATTGAGATTCACGTAGCCTTAATAAGCAGAGCACTCCACCTAAACTTTTACCGATGTTAACAGAACCTATGCAACCAACCATAACACGACTTGTTCTTATTAGCTGAGAACTGCAGCGATTCTTTAATAACATACTTAGCTTTATGATCTTTGTGATCAACCATTGAAATGTTTTCTTCTACAGGATCCTGACTCTGCTTCAGGGTATAGGCATTGAAACCAGAGTGTTCTAAATGGTTGTTTGTGATTGTTCGTCTGTTCACGAATTCGATTATTTAGTGGCTGAAAGTTTTCCAAATGTAAATCCGTTCGCAACTGTTACAGTGAATAAAAAAGTACATTTTTTTGCTTCGTAATGAGGGGTAGTAGTCAAGTTTCTTGTAAGCAATAAAACCGAAAGTCAGACGTCGAGAAAAGAATGAAATATAATGATGCTATGCCTTCCCATCAACCTGTGCATATACTGTAAAATAGTTATAGAGTTATTGAAATCGACTTTATGGCAAGGTCGACGAAGTCTATAACTACCCGATTTAACCACTTTACATATGCGTACGTACGTGTGTACCTACGTAGTATGTATACGTGTTTAGTCAGTCACTTTCGATGACCACTTATCCTTTCGGATCACGGAGATAAACGTATGAGACAGTGTATCCAAAGCTCCAGATTCAGTTCCAGCATTTCAGCTCCTACGGAATTTAGCCCAAGCTCGGAGCACACTCCTTCGACACACTTGTTCAAAGTCATTATTGGCCATCCGCGGAGTCCGGCCGGTTGGTTGGGAAAATAGTAGCTGTTTCGCCTTCCTTTCTGAAAGCTTTCACAATATTTCCTCAGACTGTCACAGCTGTGACTTCTCAAACTGGACAGTCAGCGACTGTACGCCAAGGCTCTATCGGGTTTCTGTACTCCTAACTGTGTCGAGGCCAGCGACTCGTCTCAGAAAGCCCATTTCTACCCCTTATGCACTGGATCGAAGTTTTCAGCCATGGTCCACTACACATGATCGTTGAGAAGCATCGGGATTAAGATAGACTTGATCAAAGATATCTTAGTCTTCAGACTCAACTTTGCTTTAGTTACAACTGTTCGGGCCCGCTGGCCATTACGATTCGCAGATCGATCTCTTCCTCCCACTAAATCGACTATTCTATCTATATACAACAGAAATAGGAGAGGTAGCAGAACGCAGCACTGACGGAGACTAGAGCCAAAAGAAAATGGTCTGGATTTAACACCATTTACTCTGACACTCCTTATGATATTAGCGTACAGCAAATGGACAGCCGTACCATACTTTTTTGCAAACACCTCCTCAGCTTGTTGTGTGGAATCTGGTCATAGGCTTTCTCTAGGTCCACAATGGAATATGAACCTGATGATCGAATTACCACGATTTCTCAAAAATCTGGCTACGGCGAATGTCTAGTCAGAAATCGGTTCAGTTTAACCTGAAGCCGCACTGCTCTTCTTGTGTTTCGAAATTAGTTATTCAACGGTACCTCATCGCTAACACCTTTGGTGGACTTTTCCTAAAATACTAAATAAGGTAATTCCGCGATAAATGCAACACTCCTTGTTGTCTCCAATTTTGAATATCTATACTACCACCCCAGTTCTCCTGCCCATCGATGTCTTCCGCGTAGTTATTACAGCTTGACCACAACGTGCCTTATTAATTTAAGTTTTACGCATTTCAGGGTGGATTTCATAGATTTCTACAGTCATTCCATTTT